TTCCGATCTCCCCAAAACCCCAAAACCCCGTTGTTTCAAAATATTTATCAATTTGATTAATAAAAATTGCTAAAAATATTAATAAATAAAGGATAAATCATTCACACTCACTGAGTAATGGCTTAATTCATCGAAAATTATATACAATCTAAAATTAAAGGCAAGCAGCATAATAAGAAGCAGCTCTCCCTAAAGAACCTAGAAATTCAACTAGATTTTGACTAAGATTTATATGCCTAATCAGATAGACTGCATCATCAGAGAAACCATGGAAATCCTGAATTCTCACAGTAATTTAAAAAGCTATCAAAACCTCCCTCATCTACTAAAAACTTCTCTTAAAACAATTAGTTTTTCGGAAAAAGCACAACTTAGAGGAATCTCGATAGTCAACTGACTTCGACTATGTCTAATGGGGGACCAAGGAGTCCAAGGCTTGTTGGCACTACGTAAAATCTCCAGATGATACCAGTCTTTGAATGGTACTTTTACCCCGAATGCGCTCTCAAGAATAATCAAGTTCTCAAGCAAATGAAGACCAATCAAAACATTAGGTTCGAGGGCTTTGATATTTTAGATACTTAGAGTAATTAGCAACTAGAGTCTGATGAGAGCATAAGTGAGGACTAATTTATGGATGATTAGTCGGAAGAAGAAAAGTCCATGCGACACTATGCTGATGACTACTATCATGTTAATTCGGGTGCAAATACTCCTAGAACAGAATATCACTTGCTGAATGCTTTAGCTACTCCTTAATAGAGGAAGAATGCAACACCGAAAACAATCTTTACAGGCTAAGCTCCATTAACTCCAAGGTCAAATGGAGAATCTAATAAGAAGTATAGGCTAAAAGAGACAAGAGATTCGCTCTAGCAATTTAATGACACCGAATTATGTAAGACACTAGGAGTAATGATGCAAGAAAATCAGATGCCTTTCAAATATAAAACAGTTGGATATCTTAAAAAGATTTTATCTTGTCCAGATATTGAAGAGATGGCAAAAGACTTCAGGTAGAGAGAGCATAAAAACAAGAGTTGGCAGCACACTGAGTAAATCAATAAGGATCTATCAAGGACTAAAATTCTAAATGACAACATTAAGCTGCATAATGATGTACACAGGGTTATTGAATTCTATTGCTAATAGAAAAATGTATCATATTGCCAGGGCATTCTAGAGGTGCTTCTACCTTTCTTACTGTTGAAATAGCAAGGCCCTATGGAGTTTGAGAACCAATTTTTGCAAACTTAAAATGGAGATTTCATGAATAACTTTGATTTGTCTTATGTTTACGCTTACTTTAGAAGATTCGTCCAGCTGTACACTCCTAATACTTTGCATGCTAAATTCAATGGAAGAGGTAATAGTTTGCCCTATCTAAAGTGTTCTTTATTTCTTGTGGAATAACTTCTTTAATATCATGATAAGGAACTGTACCTTCATTTGAAGCATTACAAAATATTTTTTGAAATGTTTGCTACATCGTGGCTGATAACGTTATTCACCAGATTAGTCGATTTCGGTCTGATATATGAAGTCTGGGAAATATTCCTATTTGAAAGAGACAGATTCTTGATATTTTATATGACTGTTGCCTTCTTAAAGATTTTTAGATACCAAATTCTTAAGCTTACGCAATTCGAAAAGATTTTGAAGTTTTTAACATCTGATATTAAGATCCATGATTTCGACTAATTATACAATCTTTACATGGAATGTATCACAATTAGATCATACACACCTCTCTCATTTTAAATAATGGTATCAAAGCTTGGTCTATTCGATTCTGACTCAATTATATCTAATGAGGAACTTGAGATTATGGAGTCGTTTAAAATCAGGTAGCATCTAAACATTTTACCAAAAGAAATTACAAATGGAGCATAACTGTTCCAGAATTCAACGAATAACAATAAATATTTGAATTTGATGGTGCTATCAGAAAATGAATAGGCAGTTTATTTATGCACCCAAGATAGCATGACAAACGAGCAAGCTTAAAAGAAATTGCAGGATCCGATCTAAAGGATCAATGAACTCAAGCTATCTTGTGCAAATGAGATCAAAGTGGGTGCTAATGTAAAATATCTCTTACTAGATCTTAGAATAAGCAAGAAACCAAAACTAGATCAGATATTTGGAGCCAAAGTTCCCTATAGAGAAATAAATATCGAGTCAATTAAGGATAGTATGATAAACATCCTAAATCTTAATGGAATAAATCAGTATCATTTAGTGCTCGTCATGAACAACTCTAACATTATTGAGCAAGGTAACTCCAAGTAACAGCCATTATCTAAAGAATAAAATATTGATCTAGTAATATACAAAAAAGTAATGGAAAATCTAAAAAAGAGAAACCATGTAAGTGTATTAGAGAATGGAATCAGAGATCTTATAAAATGAACTTAACTTCGAGGCAAAAATACATAGAGTAGTACTATAGCCTAGAATTGAATCACAATAATTTGATTATATATGATAGAAAATGCGAATTATACATAAGAAATACTTATTTTTAATATGAAATGAGATTAGATATGTAATATATCACTTATTTTTATTTGAAAAATTAATTGTCCCGGGGTTTTGGGGTTTTGGGGTTTTGGGG